TATATATATACATACATACATATATATATATATATACATATATATATATATGTATATATATATATATATATATATATATATATATATATATATATATATATATATATATATATATATATAAATATATATATATATATATATATATATATATATATATTATATATCATATATATATATACATAAATATAAACATATATGAATATATAAATATATATGCATATATATATATATATATATATACATATATATATATATATATATATATATATATATATATATATATATATATATATATATATATATATATATATATATACATAAATATATATATACTATATTATATATATATATATATATATATATATATATATATATATATATATATATAATATATATATATATATATATATATATATACATACATACATATTAAGGTTAGTCAAAAACAGTAAATTTTAAAAGTCTAAAAAACCATTACTCCTAAATTTGAGGCAAATATATAAAAAATGAACCGTAAAAGGTTTGAGCGTTATTAGATAATTTAGGGGGAAAATGACTGAAAACTGGTCATTTTAGTGCATGTTGAGGGATGGGCAATTTTTTTTTTTTCTTTTATTTTTTTTACTATGTATATATTGGCCTATATTTTAGTTTAAAAATATATGACTTTTTTTGCCACCCTTCAAAAATCTTTATTTGCTGGTATTGAAAATCATGAAAATTGGCATTTTTTTTCATTGCTTCCTTCATGCATGAAAGGAACAATGAACCTCAGGGGGCAATGACCTTCTGCCAAAATGTATAAACAGTGGTTAGCTGTGACCACTGAAATGTCAGTTACTTATATTTAAACAACTGCTATTTATCTAAACAGAAAAATTAAAATGAGTCAGGCATAGATGAGTTTTTTCCAAGAATTCCCGGAATTCCAGAAATTCACATCAAGTTTCCGGAAAATTCGGAAAAGATGCTTTTTGCTATTGATTTGTAAAAAGTTATATAAAATTTTAAATACGACATGGTTTGCATTTAAGCAATTATGTTTTCTATAAATGAAATTTTCGCGAGATCAAAAAATTTTTTTCTTTTTAATTCATTCAAATTAACTTTTTCGAATATTAGAAATTCTTTTTCTTAAGAAGTTAATTGATGTAAATTCCGTTTTAAACGTTTGCAAAAGATCTTGGTGATATTTGTCATCATGTGCATAATGTTGTCAAAAAAATTTACTTCTTTTTTCGGCAAGGTAGTTGAAAACTTACTGGATGATATCTACATTGATTTTAAATATAGCCCAGATTTTCGTACATTTCTGAAAAAAATCTGTCAAATCACAGGTGTCACATACAACACCCAAGGCAAAGGGTTTGTCATCGATGGTTGTCTGTTTTATATTGCACTCTTCCTATGCTTGAGATGATGCCTGCTTTCACCTTAATTTATTCTTCTTGGCTATCAAAACAAGGCATCTCTCTGTATAAAGATGAAAGTGACAAAATTTTAAAGAGGCTATCAAATGAAAGTAAGAAACTAATAGAAAAAATAAAATGTAAAATGCAGCAGAAAAAACTAACAAAACAAGGTGCAGAAAGAAAAGCTAGAATTGTTAAAAGTTTATTTTTCCGACGTAATGAAACATTACTTTATATTAATTTGTACGTTAAAATTCTTCCTATTTTTAAATCATTCATTTTAACTTTTGAACAAAAAGAACCGTTAGTCCATCGAATTTATGATGAGCAAATTGAACTAGTGAAAACAATTTTAACTTGTTTTATTAAGCCAAAGATGATAAAAAATATAACAGGAGAAAAGTTGAAGTTTTTAAACCTGAAAGATAAAAAAATGTATCGCCATTCGAACTTCATATACCTTGGAAGTAATGCTGATTTCAAATCATCGTTTTTAAAGACCTTGCTAAAAGCTTACCTTGAATCGTCAGTTTACTTACTTAATAAATTACCCTTTAACAACCCTTTATTAAAATGCCTCTCTGCGATCGACCCAATGTCTCAAGGTCACGAAATTACAGAGAGAATGCTAAAAAAACTCTCAACTTTCTTTCCCTGTGTAGATATAAATAAAGTAATATTTAATCGAGAAGTTATGCAGCTTCAGATAGATATAGCGCTTCCACCCGTATTTGATGATGGGAAGCCCGTACGTCTTGACTATTGGTGGGCTGAAGTTTTTAAGTGTAAAAAATATTTAGAGCTTAGTAAGATTATCAAGGCATGCTTAAGTATTTTTAGTAGTCCTCATGTTGAGCAATCATTCAGCATGATGAACACCATAGTTAACAAAAAGACAAACCGTCTTGATACTTTAACGTACTCTGCTATAGCTTCAGTTAAGTATTAATTATTAGCAAACGAGACCACAGCAGTAGGGTACTTTAAAAGGCGAGATATATTGCATGACCCAGTTAACAAAAATATCTGTGTTCATTTGCAAACTGCAAGCAAACGCTATAATAAAATGAAATTTCATCGGAAAAATA